GGGCCTTAAACGATTCATTCTATTGAATATTGATGTCCGGGGGGCAGGTTGAGGCTCCTCTTTATCTTGCACAACGCTCACACTGATATGTTAAGCGCTAGCATTTTTTGCCTTGCTGGAACTCTTCACCGGTGCATTTGGTGTGAAGCCAAGTCCAGCTTTGTTGTTGTTGACCCCGTAACCATGCTCCTCCAACTTCTTCTAAGTTTTAGTGAGATCACATTCGTTGTCTTTGACGGTGTTCAAATCCTTCTTTCCCAAATTTACAGAGGAGGTGAAGTTGTACCCAACTTTCGACATGAGTTTGTAGGCGTTTGGATCAAAACCTTCTTCGGTCCTCTTGGTTGGGAGAAAGCTTGGTTCTACCCCCTTTGGCAGGCCTTTTACGAAGCCTTGTGATGGTCTTGCAACCTTAGTGTCGCCTAGCTGTGTCAGAGGCAAAACTGCATTCGTTTTAAGCAACTTTACATTGTCCATGTGCCGTTGTGCATCGGCTTTGCTTGCTGCAGTTTCAAACAGGGATTGACCATTCTTTCTTCTCGACGTCGGGATGTATCAGAAAACGGGTATGTTTGGTCCATTTGAAGGCGTCCTACTCCCTCTGGTTGTTGCAGGTTTAGCAAGTTTATCATCATTTTTGCTTGAAGATGGCACAGCTTCTTCTTCTTGCTTCTTGGGCACGGCTTGCCACTCCTTCTTTTTAGGTGTTTCTTTGCCCATGGATTTGATCTCTTTTGGAAGAGTTTCAGGCACCATGTCTTCATCCATGTAGAACTTGGTGTCTGCGAAATGTGATTCGGCTTCGGTGAATGGCTTGGTGTCGCCATAAATCACTTTCACTCCTTCTTGGTAAAATTTTAAGCATTGGTGAAGGGTGGACGGTACTAATCCATTCGCATGGATCCAAGGCCTTCCTAAGAGCAAACCGTAGGAAGTTCTTGCATCAATCACGTGAAATATTATGCTTGACTTGAGTTCACCAATGGTCATCTCCACTCGGATCATGCCCATCGCTCTTTGTCCTCCTTGGTTAAAACCTTGGATTAGTAGACGGCTTAGGGATAGTTCATCCACCTTGATGTCGATTGTGGTCATTGTTGACTTTGGCATGATATTGATGGCTGATCCGCCATCCACAAGCATGCGGTTGACTTTGTGTTTCTTTACGTACCCAGAGATGAAGAGAAGACGGTTGTGAGGCTTGGATCCTAGCAGTAAGTCTTTGTCGGTGAAGTGGATTTGTGTCCTCGGCGGCATAGCATGTGGCACACTCGTGTGGCCGAAGCCTCAAGCCTTCGTTCTTGCTTTCTTGCACTTCGTGGTCTTTTGGACTTGCTAAAACCGCTGCTAGTGCCCTTCGTATCTTCTTTGGCAATTGTAGCGCTTCCTCGATGCTAAAGTGTGTTGGCAGACCTTCTTCAGGTGTAAGAGTATTTTCTCCCTCAGTGGCGACAACTTTACCTTTTGAGGGTTTTTCCATTTCTACTTCGACCATGTGACATGCGGCGATAGTGCAATGTTGGAAGAAGTCCTCCGGGAAGTACTCGTGCAAGGAGACGGGAATGCGTGGCTTTTGCTCCGCAGGTTCCTCAGCATATATTGGCTTAGCAACTCTTATGTTTCTTTTAGGCTTCCTATTGCTGCTGCGGCGGTGCTTTTTCCCTTGTTCCCTCTTTGGCTTTATAGTTTACGGTCTCGGTTTCCTCGTCCTCTTATAGGTCACCAATGTCCATCTTTTGTCATCGTCAGTAGGTGCATCTTGGTTGCTTGCCCCCAGTGATAGTGGTGCAGAAGGTGCAGTGTGGTTTAAGTATTGCCGAGCATGGTCAGGCATTTCTTGAAGAGGCACGGGATCAAAAGATCCGAACACGACCGTAGTGGTGTGCATTGCAGCTGTGTCTTCTAGGTCGAGCTCAATCCGCCCTTGTTGTGCCAACTTCATGATGAGTTCTTTTAGGATGAAACACTTGCTTACATGATGACCCACGATACATTGGTACTTGCAGTACTTGGAATCATTGACGCGATTCATCTCTTCAGGGCGTTTGCATTCGGGCAAATCAATCACCTTCTTCTCCAGCAGGTCGTCCAGCATTACGTCCATGTCGGAGTCCGGAAAAGGGTATACCTTCTGCTCCAGTTCCCTCAAGGTGTTTTTGTACCTATCTTGGGTGTGGGAAGGCTCACTTCTTTTTATCTCCTTTGCTTTGTTATTGAAGGAGATTTTGACGGGTGCGGATGAGGTCTTGATAGGGGTGGTATTGGTGGTAAAAGCTTCCTTGGCGGGCTTTTTCCCATGATTGTCTGCTTTTGAAGTAAACACCTTATCCCTTTTAAAATCGGTGATTGGCTCTTTCTCTCCATGGTGGGCGATGCTCAGCTCCATGTCATGGGCACGGGTGGCTAATTCTTCAAAAGTTCGTGGTTTGATACCTTGAAGGATGTATTGTAAACCCCATTGCATGCCCTGGATGCACATCTTAATTAAAGAAATCTCGGAGAGCCTGTCTTTACAGTCGAGGCTTAGATTACGCCATCGGTTGATGTAGTCCATGACTGGTTCTTCCTTCCATTGCTTCGTGCTCGTCAGCTCTAGCATGCTCACAGTGCAGCGGGTACTGTAGAAGCAGTTGAGGAATTCCCTTTCCAACTGTTCCCAGCTATTGATGGACTCGGGCTCCAGGTTCATGTACCACTCAAAGGCATTTCCTTTTAACGAGCGCACAAACTGCTTGGCGAGGTAATCTCCCTCCGTCCCTGCATTGTTGCAGGTTTCGACGAAATGTGCGACATGTTGCTTCGGGTTTCCCTTTCCGTCAAATTGCATAAACTTCGGCGGTTGATAGCCCCTCGGCATCCTTAAGGTGTCGATCTTCCTGGAGTAAGGCTTCGAGTACAACATGGAGGCATGAGAGCTCCCTTCGTACTGTGCCTTGATAGTGTTGGTGATCATCTCTTGCAGCTGCTGGATAGAAAGAGATCCCATGAGTGCCGCTGCTTAGTCTGGCTCCGGCTTCACATCGATTTTCTTCATCGGAGGTTCCTCTTCTTCGCCAGCTCCTCCCTTTAGTGGATCATCCTCTGGGTCAGGTTTCTCGCCGTCCTGCGCCTCCAGTCGGTTGACTAGTGCTGCAATTTGCAAGTCTTTTTCTTCTACAGTTCGGGTTAGCCTTGTGATTGCTTCATTCATTTGAGCCAACTGCTCATCGATTGAAGTTGCTCCAGTGGTCATGACTTGCATAGCTGAACTGCCGCTTGAATCGGCATTGGAGAGCATGGATTCAGAGTATTTCCTTGGGCTTTCCCCCCTTGGTGCCCTTAGTGAGGCTAAGGTGATCACAGGCTCATGCCTTGGGTGCTCTTGTTCCCTTGGCAGAGTTGATGCAGAGGTGAAAGAGGCAGCAGAAGTAGCTCTTGCCTTGCTTCGAGTCGTGATGCCCAAAGTGACACCACTTGCGACGAGGACGCTCTTGTTCTTTGCGCCGGTTGCGGGAACAGTTTGAGCCTTCCTTGATGCCATTAATTTTGGAAGTGTGCTTGAATTTCTTGAACGGAGAAAGAGATGAGAGGTAGAGATGTCCCACCGGGCGTGCCAAATTTGTAAACACGAAAAATTCCTGAAACAAACGAGACAAGAACAACGTGCACAAAATAATATTTGTATTTGATGATTTTGAGTTACAATCTCTCTCAAATTTGATCATCTGATTTGATCTCCGTAAGGTGTTGATTTGTGGATGTGCGATTGATCCAAAGGGCCGTTGGGCTTGATCTAAGGATGAACGTTCTTCAAGGGCCGTGGGCTTGATCTTGAAGGTGGATTTGAGCAGATCTTCAAAGAGCCGTTGGGGTTTGATCTTGAGGATGAAAGTTTCTTCATGGGCCGTTGAGGCTTGATCTTGAATAACGGTGATGAACGGATCTTTAAGGGGCTTTTGGGCTTGATCTTGAAGAACAGTGATGAACGGATCTTCAAGTGCTTTTGGGCTTGATCTTGAATAACGGTTGGATGTGTAGATTTGTCGACGTTATTGATCCAAAGGGTCGTTGGGGCTTGATCTTAGGATGAATGGATGATGAACGATGAACACTTTCTTCAAGGGCCGTCGGGGCTTGATCTTGAATTGGTGGAAGTTCTTCAAGGGTCTTTGGGGCTTGATCTTGAAGGTGGATGATTGTTGATCCAAGGGCCGTCGGGGCTTGATCTTGGAAGAACGATGAACGAAGAACAAAGTGGGCTTTCTTGATTCTTCGGGAACCTGGATGCTTGAGAGCTTTAGAGTTTCAGAGCTTCAGAGCTTCAAGGTTTTGGTGTAATCTCCATTGGTGAAATGAAATGAATGAAATTGGCTTCTATTTATAGAATTTTCCAAGGCCTAATTTTGAATATAATATTCCAGATGAAATAAGTCGTTTCTGCCAGGTGTTGACACGTGTCCTGTTTGATGACTTTTCCGATGATTCTCGATTTTTTGTTTAGACACACGCTACGTGTAAAATTTATGTAATACATGAGCGTTGAAACTTTGATTTATCGGTCAACATTGATTTACCAAAATTTTGATGTCTACAATTCTAACTTATTATTTTGAATGTAATGTGATCAAAGAGTGCTAAAAGTTATATTCACTATTGTTTTACAATTTATGCTTTTTTTTTCTCGTTAAAAAATTTATTGGTGGACATTTAACTGAGACGACATAGATTGAGATTCCAACTCAGTTTTTAATCTTTGCTTTGTAGGAGGTACATAAAGTTGTACAGTGGTTTCTATACCTCAGATATGGATTTGGATCCTCTCCTAAACTAATGGAGATGATCCTCCTGACCAGTTATCATGGACCGTTGGATTTTTATCCAATGGCTACAAACAGGGGGTCCCTTTAAAGTTATAATAATTATAGCCGTTGGATTTTTATCCAACGGCTCATGATAATCCAACGGCTCATGATAACTGGTCAGTAGGATCCTCTCCATTAGCTCAGGAGAGGATCCAAATCCCTCAGATATTATAGTTGCTTCTTCAGTTGGTTTGTTGAAAGTAAGTGATCAACTTTATTTTCAGTTTCTAGTCTGATTTTTTCCACTGGTGACCTGTTATGAAACTACTGCTATACACAGAGGCCGAAAAACAAATTCCATTATTAATATAATCTTAGAAGTCCATATTTGTTACATCTTCCGTTGTATTTCTTTGAGGCATTGCCTTTTTGGTTTTTTTCTTTGGTACTTTCAATGTAGTTAATTGGTAAGGAAAAAGTGCCTATCAATGCTTAGTGTAAAGGCTTACATGACCACTTTTGGAATAGATAATTATATAATTGTCTCTAGTTTGTAGAACCAACTTTCCTATTGAAGGCACCAACTCCCTTGCAAGAATCATCTTAAAATGAAATACTTTTTTTCTAAATTAAGAGTGTGGACATTCTCTATATATTCTAAGGTTGGAGGTTGGTCATTTGTTTACGTTTGTGATTGGCTAACACTTCCTTTATATCTATTATAATGAGTCTGGACCTTTATTTTTACAGAAAATTGATGAGGCTAAATTAAATAAAGAAAAAGATGTCGACTATCTCTTTCTTCCATAGAGGTAATGTATCTTACCAACCTGTCAGTGTTTGGAAGTACGCTTGTATGCTTGGTATTGGGCTTCTCCGATGCTTTAATGGTTCCCTTCCATTGATGGAGATACATGTTTTGATGTGGCAGGTTCTAGTTATTGATCATGCAGATGTTATAACGATGCAGGTAATAGTGTGATCAATTATCCACTTGAAATATATGGTGCCTGCAAAATTTATATCTTCTCTTTTCTGATAAAATATCTAGAACTGGGACTTTTTGAAGTCTGTTGTTGAACAATTGGACCACATACCATCTAAGCAGCATGAACTGATGTCATGCGGATAAGACCGTGGTATGATTTGTTGTCCATCTTTTCAAGTATTAACATTGTATTGTGCCAGGCATGGCAATTTATCCTTATAATTTCTTCCCTCACACTAGTAGTAACAAAGTGCTTCCTATACAACCGAAATTGTTATGAACATCTCAAGAAGTAGAACACTTATACCGATTGGAAATTTGATTGTGAAGCCACTGATCTATATCACGTCATGAAGACCAACTCAACAATGTTTTTCATGGCCAGGTACCTAGATGGATATGCACCTTTCTATAGGCAAACAATACTTTTGAGTTATTATTCAAATCCGGGTAAGATTTCTCCTTTTCTTTGATGGCAACTGTGAATTTTTTTTGCTTTCTTTTATATTGATGTTCACTCGTAATAAAATTCAAATTATAAGAAAATCAACAAGGAATGCATTCCAGTTCTTAATCGGCCTTTAACCCGATGCTTTTCACTGCAGATATAAACAATTTGTTCAACAAGCACTGCAGTAATTACCATGGGAAGGTATGTATAAAAATTAACATTTAGAGCATGATTATTTGTTCAGTTTGCGCATATATTTGGACTATAAAATATCTTTTATAGCTTCATATCTTCACCTATACTATTGGGCTCTACTGTCCACTGATCGTACAATGGATTAAATGATATCAATAGAAAATATCAAATTAATATAAAATGGCTGTTTGCCAACACAATGCAAAAGGAAAACTTCAATTTCTGTTTTCCTTCAAATATTCAGATTGGCAATGCTTATTTTATGGTTCACAAAAGGCAAAAATTCTTAAATACTGAGTTTGTGATAACTATAGGTGAAGCTGGTACATGAACATAAAGGAGTTCTTCCTAAAGTGGTTCATCAAGTCCGCCAGGTATGCAAAAATTCTTTGACTCATTTTACAACACCGTCAAAACTTAAGGACAGTTCTCTTTCAAGTTGAGTTTATTTGCTTGTTAAACCTTTTAGTTTGTCTGGTTTGGAGGTCTTAACTGTCTATCTTCTAATTTTCTTAGAGGCATTTGTCATCCTTTATTTCCCTTTCTTCGGAAAATTAGGATGCGAAATAATATATCAATTTCTGTCCCGCTCCTTGATTCTTGTTGCTGATAATTGGCCTTTTTGTGCGGTTAAGGTGGATTTGAAATGAAAACTTGGAATCCGTGGATATGGTCTTTACTGGTTCATGTTTTGACTTCATTGATTGAGAACCTGTCGGGAATATGGGTCACACAACATTGAGACTCTGAATTGTTCTTTTTGTTTCCTGGTGTGATTTGAATATTTATTATGTTAGAAGAAGTGGCTACCGAGGAAAAAATAATAATATATGTATCACTGTACTCAGTTTCTTCTTTAAGTGTAAGGAATTAGATTGATTCCTTAATTATGTTTCAGATCTGGAAATCACTTCATCAGCTAATTCACTTTTTTACTTTCAACCTTCCAGATTTATCAGCGGTTTGATGCAGACTCAATACAACATTTTGATGATGCTCGTTTTGAATATTTTACTACAAAGGTTTCTTCTGTTTTCCAGAAGTGTCCTTAATTGCAAGAGACTTTATAGTTGGTTGTTATTGAACAATTATAATTTGATTTCTGAATTGCTATAGTTCGACTTATTAAAGAAGGTCTCTATAAATTGTGGCTAGATACTTTGTGTGGATGCAAATTTATTCCTTCTTCTTTTTGGATAAAATTGCACCTACAAAACAATCAACACCTTAAGGTCAAGGCCAAAAGCCTCATGCGCCCACGATGAATGGGGGGCGGGGGGGCTTTGGCCGAATAACCTCCGATGCTAAAGTTAGAATTTTAGAGAGAAAAGTGTTTAGAGAGTTTTTGGAGTTTTGCAAGAGTGTGGACTTAGGTTTGTAGAGAAAATGGGGCTCAATATATAGAGTATGGCCGGTCCCCTTTGGAGAAAAGGTGGCCGGCCTTTGGGATGTGTTTTGGGTGTATTTTGGGGTTTAATGTGTGATTTATTTTGCCATTAATAGATTAATTAGGCAATTAATCCATTAATTAGCCAATTAACACATTTTTAGAAAGAAAGTTTTGGAGGTTATGGAATGAATAAAATAAATAGCTAATTGATTAGCTAAAAAAGGGTAAAAAATATATGGAATGAAATAGGTTTTGGGAGTTACCTTGTAGAAGGGATTAGAAGGGATTTGATGGGATAGGTTTTGAATTGTTACCTATTTTGGGCACTTTTGACTTGGTTGAGGGATGATTGCCCGTTACTCGCACGTAGGAATCCCGTTATACCTCAAGGATATTTTTGTCCTCTTTTATCCAAAAATCCATGTGTCGCCTTGTGATTATTTTTGGCTCCACAAATGCCCCCACACATGTTGGGCTGCTCATAGGAAAGGACAGCAGGTGTAGAGATCTTTTTGCTTTAGGAAACATAGGACTGCTTCCTTTTTTTATGTAGATTCCCTCTTTAATAAGAAATTAGATCCTTCTAGGAAAGGGAAATAAATTTCTCTCAAGGCCTATTTAAGTCCACCTTAAGTGGGTTATTAAATCAACTTTGGAGAGCAGTTTATTCTACCCTACAAGAGATAGAGCTTAGAGGATATTTGTTCCCCCTCCTCTAGCAATCGTCTACATCTTGCTCGTGCAAAGGACTGTCTTTCGTTGATTTCTTCGTCTTTTTCGTGCCGCACCAATGTAAGAAAAATTTAATTTTTCTTGTCTTCTTCTTGGATAATGCTGTTGCGGGGCAGCCGTCTGGGTGGTGCAGTACATTGGCCGGCAGGGGCCAAGAGTCGGCTCAGCATGGGCCGATGATGTGTTGTGGTAGGGAACACTGCTTTAGGCTGCTCAACTTAGCTAGAGCCATGGACAGCTTGTGCAGTTAGGACCACAGATTGAAGCGCTGAGATGTAGTGCTAGGTGAGTCACATGGCTCATGTCCTTTAGGCTCTTGGACCTGACACGGGCCAGGCCGACAATTGAGAGAAATGAGGAGGTCGTGGGCCTCATGGATTGCTGGAATGCTGGGCATGCAGGCCTCCTGCCTACTAGAATGCTGAGTATCGTGAATAGCGTTGGCTGCTTAGTTCTCTTCGCTGGGAGAAAGGTGGGCTGCTCCCAAAGAGGAGGTAAAGAAGATGAAGGCGGATGCATTGGCTCGTCTGATCGTTGTCATGGAGCTTACTATGAATAAAGGTGGAAATAAGAGATCTTCCTCGCCTACTCAAGAGATGTCAGTTGAGAAAAAATTGAAGACTTCATCTGCTGCTCATAAGGATCTGTCTGCTGTCGAGAGGCCTGTGATTGGCATGACTTCTTCCAATGGGAAAAAATGAGGCTGCTAGATCTGAGCATGTGGCGCCTTCCATGTTAAGAATGGCTAGTACAATTGTTGATAAGATTGCTCAGCGTAAAGGTTTTATCATGCCCCCAGTGCCGAAGTCTGTACCAAGATGTTCGTTGGGAGCCAAGTCTGGTTCACCTTTGGAGAAACTTGCTATTATGAAGAGTGGTAAGGTGGACTATGCTGCTAAAGTGGCGTCAATGCCCACTCCCTCTGCTATTGAGACTGATTTGCCTGCTGGGAAGGAGGAGACTACTCATATGGGCAGCTGTGAGAAATCCACTAAGCCTGCTCCTAGGGAGGCTGCTGAGATCTGTATGCTCTTGAAACCAGATCCGCTTGAAGGTATGGATGCTTGTGCCAAGTTTGTTAATGGCGTTAGAAAAGTTTGTTTGCCCAAGTTCCTTTACGAAGCATACAACCCAATGTAGAAGGACTGCTCTGCTTGCTATGATGCAAATATAGCAAGGCTGTCAAGGTGGTGGCGAAGACTATGGTAGTTGAAGCTTATTCGTTGGCCGATAAGATTAAGAGGTTGGATTATGAGCTCGTTACTTTGAAAGGGTCTAATATTTCTGCTCCCACTTCTCTGCAGCTTGAGACCGCTCGCCAAGAAATCGTTGACTTAAAGGCTAGGCTTGACGTGATCCAAGTTAAGTATGAAAGTGCAAAGAATGAGATTGGATGTTACATACCTCAGATTCAAGATCTTGGTTTGCAGTTTTTGAGCTTCGTTTCGCTGCTTATGCAAATGATGAAAAGTTGATTGCTGCTTATAATCAAGTGATCCACTTCAAGAGAGTCGTCGATAGGCTTGAACCCCAAGTGTTGGAACTTCAAGGTGTATTGAAGATCAACGAAAGTTTGAAGAAATAAGTGGATAAGCTGCAGCACTTCCGTGTTGGTCTACTCGAGGAGATCGAGCAACTGAAAGGTGAGAAGGCTGGGCTCGAGGCTCCGTTTGTTCAGAGTCAGACCGATTTCTACAAGCTGGGTTATGTAGATCATCTCTTTAGTAAACCGTCTGACTTTGAGTTTGCTGGGAGAGACTTCGAAACCTTCTCTATTCTCCAGAAGACTTGCTTACCTTTACTTTTGAGGCCTCCATTGGTGAAGTAGTCAGAGATATTGGTGCCTAAGCTGGAGCAGCCAGGGGTGAAGCGTCGGATGATGCCGCTGCTAAAAATGTCCCTGCTGCTGAAAGTGTGGCGACCGAGTAGTCATAAAGTGTCCAAGTTGCGGAAGAGTAGTCTTCTAGGTAATCTTTAGGATTTTCTTTGTTTCCCTCTTTGCTTTTTGCTTTGCTTGAACTCATTCGGTCTTTGCTAGTTGTTTATCAATTTTGCTAGAAAATTTAATAAACTTGCTTCCCTCATTTTTCTTCATCTTCGCTTCTTTCGTTCATGCCCTAACCTTTAAACTTTATAGACCAGTGGCAGGCGTGCTACTTTTCTATAAGCAGACAGGCCCACGTAGATGCAGTCGTAGGTGTTGGTGTAGAACTTTGCAACGTTGTTAGCCATAAGGTTGGCAGTCGGATGCCTTACTTACAGAAGTAGACAAGTTTGCGTAACCACTAGGCTGTTAACCTTGGTTTTCCCCAATTCCGTAGGCTGAGTAGCAAGTATCACAACACTTTAGGACTTGGTGTAGGTTGTTCTGCACTTGGCAGAGGTGAAGCTTATCGACTATGTAGCATGTCAGCAGTGGATAAAGATTTGTATATGCACGCTAGCTTGTTTAACCTTTCACAAGAATGTGCGGTTGTATAAGTCTAGCGTCGTTTTACTGCTCAAATGGCAAGCCGTAGACAGTCCTCCGAAAATCGTAGGCTACCTTAGTGCACTCGGTAGCAACTTTAGGGTTCCAAGGCAGCCGTCTGTAGAGCGTACTGCGTAATGTGCCCCCTCCGTTTCTAGGGCCCGGTTCCCCACGGATTAGGCCAAGAGACCTAAAATCCTTCAGTTAGCTAAGCCTTGAAAAAGACTATTGTGGCTACTTCTAGGAATCCCTGGCACAAGCCATCGTGCATCTAGTTATACTAGGGCAGCCAAGCTTATCCACATCTGGATATTCGGAGTGTAAAGTTTATCCTCCCGTCTTAGGGAATTGACCCATGTGGGTGTCTGGGAATTGGTTTACCCTCTTGCACTGGAGAGCAATTAGTTTACCCTCTCGCATTAGAGAGCATGGATGGTCCCTCGGGGGGCGCAATTCATATGATGAGTCCCTAAGAAGAGCGGAGTCTTCTTTTGAAGTGCATGAGTGATCAGTTGTTGTAAGCATGCAACCGAGCAAAGTTGTGATTACTTCTGAATTCCTCATTGAAAAACGAGTGAAAAGAACGAGAACTTAGTTGTAAGGTAAGAACTGCATAACAATTGGATAGTCATCGGCTTGTGAGGTGGTGCCTATTGAGCTTCTTGAGTCTTTGGGCTTTGATGTAGCGGGATGTCACACATGGTACTTCCTCAGATTGTAGGCGCTCCACTGCTTTTCGATCTTTTTATCGTTTCATGGTGGAGAGGGTGTAATTACTCTTGCCGCCTACTATGTTGATCTTGTACGGACCTTCCCAAATGAGATCCATCTTTTTGGAGCCTTCTCTGCGGGCAGTCATAAATGTTTTTCTTAGGACTAGATCTTCGGGCTGGAACTGTCGGATCTTGGCCCTTTTGTTGTAGTTGGAAATGAGTTGTTGCTGGTAGGCTGCGATGCAGGTGATGGTCTGCTCGCACTTGTCCTCTACCCGATCTAAGCTTGTAGCCATCTCCTTACTGTTCTGCTTAATGCTTAGTAATAGAGCAGTGATACTTGGCTTGATGACATTAGGATAAATGATTGCTTCTGAGCTAAATGCCAAAGAGAAATGAGTCTTATCGGTTGCTCATCTTTTGGTGGTGCGATATGCCCATAGACATCGGGGGAGTTCATCTGGCCATTTTCCCTTCTTGTTGGTGAGGGATTTCTTAAGGCAATCGAGGATCATCTTGTTGGATGCTTCGGCCCACCACTGCCTTCAGGATATATTGGCATGGACATGTGCTGCTTGATGCTATACTTTTGGAAGAACTTCGCCACATCTTGGCCCACTAATTGAGGACTGTTGTCGGTGATAATTGACTGAGAGATGCCAAATCGGCAAATGATATTCCTCCATATGAAGTGCTCTATGTCCATCTGAGTCGTGGTCGTCTTGGGCTCTGCTTCTACCTATTTGGTGAAGTAGTCGATTACCACAATCA